CCACAAGGCTGGTTATAAGAGCAACTCTGCTGTTTATTACAAATTGATTATTCTTGTATAACATACAAGTGAAGAAGCATCTGAAGGAAATTTGTGTTTTTGTTTTCATTTATTCAATAGTTACGGAAGTCACTTGATACTTCAATGATACGGGGAGGGGCTGAGAACACTGCACATTGTAAACAGAAGGAAGATAATGGTATAAAACCTAACGCAAAGCCATTGAGAAAATAATGGGCTGAGGAAGGAACAAGAAGCTCTAAAGAGAAAATATGGGTTGGGCATGGATAGTTTTAGCATAAGCAATTAAAGTGTTGTTAAAATGCCATGTTAAAAGTGTATTAGTTAGGTGCTAGGAATTTATACCGTGGCCTCATACATGCAAAGCACGTATCAATAGACTATACCTCCAGCCCTAGGTTAATGTTTATTTTTTCCACAGTACTGGAGACTGAACTCAGGATCTTGCACTTGGAAAGCAAGCATTATATATCCCAGTGTACATGCCCCGGTTATATACCCAGTATATACCCCAGTTATATACTACATGACTGCAAATAATTAAGTAAAGAAGCAAAAATCCCATATCTTGAGCAATAGTGAATACTCTGATTTAGCTGAATCATATTGCCAAAAATGGCAACTGATAGTGTGAGGCCAATAAAAGACTAATTTTTAAACTAGCATTTTCAGTGCATCAAGAATTGCTACCTTCAAGTATTTTGCTGTAGATATTACACATTTTCTTATCTGTTTGCTATCCAATAAGAGCAAACTTAAGTATCTTCAAACAGTCTAAGAAGCGCCAATACTTAAAATACTTTTATACATTTTAAAAATGGAAGCAGTTTGTTTCCAAAATGATGCACTGTTTCAGGGTCAAAATTAAATCATTTCATTAAGTGCTGAAATAAGAGACAAAGGTGCATGAAGACCTGTTGACTACTGGACTTAGAAAACCTGAGCCTCAGTAAACATATGGAACCAACCCAGATGCCCCTCAGTAGATGAATGGATCAAAAAAATGTGGTATATATACACAATGGAATTCTATGCCTCCATCAGAAAGAATGACATTGCCCCATTTGTTAGGAAATGGAAAGACTTGGAAAAAATTATATTAAGTGAAGTAAGTCAAGCCCAAAGAAACATAGGTGCCATGGTTTCCCTTATTTGCAATAACTAGTATATGTCTGAGACAAGCAGAAATGGTCAGATAAGTTGATGTTAGGTGAAATGAAAATCAAGGTAAGGATTCAAATGTTTTTTTTTTCTTTTTTGCTATTGTGTCTAACATATTCATAAGATGATTTCTTTGTTGCTTTGTATGTCCCTCCCCCACGGTATTACCCCTGTTTTCACTGTATTTGATATTGGTATACTTTGTGGAGGGGAAGGGAAACAACAAATCGTTTAAATACGGATACAGATGGACCCATTGCAACAATGAGATGTGCAAGACGTTATGTGGAAAAATGAACTTTACAACTTTGGCAAGGGCCGGGGAGGGGTCTGGGGGGGGGAGAGGGTGGATGGGAAGGGATGGGAAGAGGAAACAAAGGAGGCAACAATGCTTGATAAAAAATGCACTCATTATCTTGCTCATGCAAATGTAACCCTTCTGTATGGTATTTTCACAATTAAAAAAAAGAAAAAACCTGAGCCTCAGGAGAAGTAGAGCAATTGCTTGCCTTCAAATAAACACCTGATTGCTAGCTATTATTTTGCTGTTATTATTCCAGTGTTATTGTCACTATATAGTATAATGAAAACCAGTTGAAACAAAATATTTAAAACATGTTATGAGTATTAATCAATGTTCCTAAACAAACATATGTTATATACACACACCTTTCTGCAAGGTACTATGGTTGCTTATAGCAATTGGGATTGAAGAGGACATATTCTAAACCATCTCTGCTTTTCATGAAGTTCTGTGTATGTTTTTGTTTTACTGCCAAATTGTTCATTTTTTATTTCTGTCCTCCTCCAACATTTTCTAGTTTCCAAATTTCTGTAGTTAATAATTTTCTTCTGTAATTAGTAACAGTAACCAAATTCAATGTCTTACTGCTTTGAGTTGTTGGATTTTATTTCAGTTCCTAATTCTCCCATTATATTTTTCTATTTTCAATGCACATGACACAAAATAAAAACGAATCAATTCCTCTAGGCTGAAGCCTAGGAGACATAATCTTGACATAATTATATTTTTCAAACAATCTAAAAAAGTCTGCCACATATTTTTTAGCTAAAAGGGGATTTTCTCCTGGGTTTATCCAGTATCAACAGTGAGAAGTTGTACACAGTCAAGTTCAAAATTTTTGGCAAGCAAACATAAAATTATTTACCAATATAGGAGAGTATTATCATTTTTTTAGTATTGGTTTTGTAACCATTTATGAATTTCACTGTCAAAAATAAATTCCACATAATTTCTCTATATTTCCATGCTTTGGTATAGAATTGATGTTCACAAATTATAGGGATGACAAGGAAATTTGATTCAAAATTCCTATGGTTAATGGAAGGAAATGTTTCATTCTTTGTTAGAGTAAAGAGACGACCAATGTATATTTTAATATACCATTTCTTTCCTGTTTAGAGACTAGGCTGCTTCATTTTGTCAATTAATTTCTAAGATTGTGAGGCAAAGTAACAGAATGACAAAATAATCCTAGGTAAAAGGGATTGCTACTCAGGTTCATGGGGCTCTTATATAGATATTAATTAGTGTCAGACCCTACTCTAAATGTTTTATTAAACCTTAAAGAAAGAAAAGACAAAGATAAAACAATATAGAGATCAGAACACAGAAGTAGAAACCAAACACATCATTTAAAATGAAAGGAATAAAGACTGAAATAAAATGTAAAAAAAAAAGACATATAATAGCCAAATGTTATTCAATAAACTCACTATTTGGACTGTTGAAAATTCATTTTAAAAGAGTTCATACTTTGTTGTTATTCCTAAAATGACCACAATCAGTAGTTCAAAATGATCAAATGTATATGCCTACTGTCTCAATCATCTCATTCATTATTTCATTGGCTTGTTGATACATTGTTTGCCCCTCTGAACTCAACTATAGACTCAAGTATGCCATGAAAACAATACAATTCAATTCAATCCTTAAGCCTTTTTTTCTTTTTCTTTTTTTTTTCCTTTCTGATCAGTAGTGGGGCTTGAACTCTGGGCCTGGGTGTTATCCCTGAGCTCTTCAGCTCAAGGAGAGTACTCTATCACTTAAGCCACAGAGCCACTTCTGGTTTTCTGGTGGTTACTGGAGATAAGAGTCTCAGGGACTTTCCTGCTGGGGCTGGGCTTAAGCCATGATCCTCAGATCTCAGCCTCCTGAGTAGCTAGGATTCTTAAGCTTTTTAAAAAATTAATTTATTAATGATTCAAATGTTTAGATATACTCTCTGTGAAAAAAAAAGGGTATCAAATTTGACTGTGCCTTAATTTCCTTACCTGAGAAATGAAGCTAATCATTACATATCACATAAGGTTGTATTTCTTATGGAAGTTTACTAAATGCTATTTGTAACCTGAACATGGATGGGTGGTGACAGCAGTGTCCACAGCTTTAAGGCACTGAAGTTCTTGTCCTCGGTGAGGACACAGGAGAACATCCTTATGGCAATTTATTGAGAATTCAACTAAGTCATTCAAAAGTAGGGGATTAACAGAAGCATACTTGTGCTTTTACATAGGAGAAAATAAAGTGATTGCTTAACGGTAAGTTTCGGAAGAAACAACTAGCACTATGCACTTATTCAAATAGTTGGTGGACTGTTGGTGTTTTGGCAAACTCCTTGGGAAAGGCTTAGTGGTCAATGGTTTTTATATACTTCCTTGTCAAGAACCACTGGTGTGATCGTGGAACCAATTCCTAAATTCAACTGGGCCTTCTTTTCCTAACTTTTAAAAAGAAGGACTTGAACAAGGTGGTCTCTAAATCCTCTTTTTCATATGTGGTATGGTATCAAGAAATTTGGTGGATTTATCTGGAGGAGTGAAAATACCAAAATAATATTTTATGGAACACTAGAGACATAAAAACACAGGAAATTAAAACATTAAAGAACTAAATTCACACCCACAGGAGTATAATTTACATTTGAAAAAAGTGACATAGTTATAGAATTATCAACATATGTTGGCTGGCAAATATACTTCCTTTATGTTTTTAGAGCAGTATCTTCAACTGCATAAATATTAAGCAATAGGAGAGGAATAATAAATTATACATATATATATATATATTTCTATCCATGTAACAACTACACAGGTTGCATATTATTATTAGGTATCAGGAAAAGGAAATATGAAATACATCAGAAAGGCAAAATATACACACATAAGGTATGAAAAAGGAAATACAGAAATTTTCATAATTAAAATGAAAAATTAGGCAAAAAGAATCATTAACTCTTTTTGCAAAGAGGTAAGAGAATATTCATTGTGAAGAAAAACCTTTTTCATCCATAATTAATTTTTAAAATGTCTACACATCATAAAAGACTATATCCCCAAGCCAACAAGCAATATCAAACCTAAAAAAAATGGAAAAAAGGTATTTTTAAATATAATTGATCACATTTAACAATGTTTTAGCAAAATCCATACAACAGCAGCCACAAAGTCCATATGACAGGAAACATTGTATTTATTTCTAGAACTGTACAGTAAAATTAAAAAGATTTTTGTTATTAAATGATGCTATTTCACTAGTTGAAATATATTCAGCATCCAAAAGAAAGAGACAATAAAATGTTTATATGAATGAGTCTGAAAGTTAAAAAAAAAAGTATGACAAAAAACAAAACTGGACAAAATGGTATGAAGGTGAAGCTGTTATTCTATTATACTATTAAATTATATTCTGTTATACTATTACAAAAGGTATTAGGTATCCTGGGCCTGTGTGCACCCTCCAGGCTTATGCAAAACACACCTACTTTTCTGTATCAGCACTTTGTCATTTACCATACCTGTGGGTAGCTGTCAGTTCTTGGTAAAACTGAGATATCATAGGTGGCAGCAAAATGGCTTTTAGCTTGCTGTATTTGACCATAACGTTCCCTTTTCCTCCACTTGGCCCTTCGATTTTGAAACCAAACCTATGTTTTTAAAAAAAAGAGAATTTTAACTGAGAAATATTTTAGGAAAGCAAGTGTGACAGTAAAGGTTTCAAACTGGATAGGAAAACCAGGTTAACAAAATAACAAAATTTATGTTAAAAAACAATACTGAAAGGTTATTCTCTTATACGTGATGTGTCTATGAGGTAATATCGTTCACAAATAGGAGGCTTTCAGCAAATTTGGTCGATACATCATGTCTCTGTTTAATCATTTATGGATAATAAAATGAATTACACTGTATCATCTCTCTTACATTACCACATGATCAGGGTAATCCCCTTCTAATCTAAAGCCATATTATTATTTGAGTCTCAAGATTTATTTTTTTAAAACATGTCTCAAAATGACTTTTCTGGGTAATGTCCATATTTAAATATATTAAAATATAAAATATTAATCATAAAAACCATGATATTAAGATTCGATATAAAACATATAGCAGTAGATATCTCCATTAAGACATAGGAAAAAAATAAGATTCCAAACGGTACTGAGCTTGGTGAGGATTACAGGTAAAGTGACGTCAGTATGAAACCTACCTCTGTTTTTTAAAATATGTACATGTAATGATCACATGAACTATATCAGATATGGAAAATGCTCAGATGCTTTCACAAACATCCTTCCATAAGTGATAAAATAAATTAAAAATAGCAATAAAACTAATATTTTAGATACAGACAATTACCCAGAATTCCTGGGGGTTCCATCAAGCCACAAAACTGTCTTATACAATTTCTCTAATTAATCTATTTGAAATATTGATCCTAAGAAATTTCTCAGAAGGTTCATTAATTCATACTTCTATTTCTCAAGAATGTCCACTGTAATATTGCAACCTATTAAAAAGCACATACCTAGAACTATGTTCAATATGAAAAACTTTGATTTGTTTTCCATGAACATGATCCAAGCAGCTTTCAGAAATCATACTATTATTATTTATACAAGTATGTACCAACATAAAATGATTAGGGAAGAAGCAGGCAATCAAGTATGAAAATGAACTCAAGTATATATAAGCGAAAAATGAAAGGGCCTCAAGTATAAAAAGCCTTTCATTCACATTTAATCAAAACTCCCATACATTGTTCCTCATATTTAACTCTAACTTTATATATCTTCACAACTTTGGTTACATTATTCCTATTCAGTTTAACTCCATATTGCAAATTTGAGATGGAAACTTTGAAGAGCTTTCAAGCAAAACACAAGAGCTACCTGTTTAGAACATGTTCCTACTACACTGCTGGCAATAAAGATTATCCGTTCTACCCAGGACTTTAGATGGCAAGCAAAGTAAAGAAAAGAAAACATATGTTGCTGCTGTTTCCAGAGACAGGCACCAAGAGCACACTAAGAGAATTTATTAAGAATAGAATTTACCCTGTAAGTTTTTATTTGTTTTTCACATTGACAACAAAGACTAAGATTCGCCTTAAAATGAATGACTACCTCCAGTCTCATGTGAAAAGCAGGATGGAGTACAAGCTGAGAAAATAGGATTCGAGTTGGCTCTCTAGGTATGTTCTAAGATAAAAATTAATCAGGACTTGAGGGGGAACATGGGTAGGGTATAGCTGATCACTCTATATATAAACACATTTTTCTATGGTTACAAGTATAACTAATTTAAATACATATGCACAAGACAAAAGAAATCACATGCAGGACTGATGTTAATACTTGACCATTCTAAAATTCTTCATTAGCACACACTATCTATATATTTACTTCCTGAGCTAAGATAAAATAACCATTTGCTTCCACAACTCAAGCAAAAATCTGCTGCTTGTTAACCCTGAACTACCAGATGTTGTTTTTAATGACACAGGGGCCTTATGATGTCTTGATCTTAAGAAGTAATACTTATTGCACTTGGAAGAGCATTATTCACCACTTATTCATTTTTTTCTCTTGGTGTTTTAACATTTTCTAGAATAGTAAAAATAATCCCTAATAAAAGGCTTGCTTCTTACTGCTGCATTTGAAACTCTTCTAACTTGTAAGTAATAAAATAAAGGTCAAGAACACCAAACCTAGCTAAAATAAAATATTCTTACAAGTTGGCATTTTATTCAGTATATTTTCTTTTTTTAAGTTTTTTGACACTAAGTACACTGAATGATCTTATTTGAAAATTTGAATCGTTTTTGTAAACATGATTGAATATGCAAAATAATTATTTTGAGCAATATCATCACTTGGAAAAACTTAAAGATTTACTTATAGTTTAGAAGATAAAATAGGACAATCTGTAGTGACAACAGCTGAGAACAGAAAATCACAAATGAACTATTTAGTGTTCACATTTATGAAGGTATCTTGTGATATACAGAACAATCGGAAGTTTGTGTAGTGTTTCATTTTCTCTTTTGTTAGCTCCTCAACCTAAATAAAGCTATTTATGCACTACTAGAAAAATAATATCTGGTATGTAACCTATAAAACCCTCAATAGTTGAAAAAAATAAAAAGTTAATATAATGTATTGATTACCTGATAGACAATTATCAATTTGGTCTTGACCTCTTGGCAGTTTCTTTTTGAGACCAGAGCTATGTTATTGTAGTCTGTTTCTTTGTAAATGACTTTTAAGTTTTAAAGTTATATAATGTAACTAGACTTCTTATGTTTTGTGAGAGTTGTTAAAGTTTTGCTAATAACAAAGGGATTCTGATGGCCCTACAAGCATATACATCCCATTGTTCTATGCATTCAGTGGGGAGTCAGTTGCTTCCTTGATGAGCTATTGCAATTCATAATTTACTCTGCCATGCCATTCTTTCCACATTACCCAGCCAGAACTCCATTTGATGCCTACCTGCACCCTGGCCTCAGTGAGTTCCGTGCGCAGTGCCAGTTGTTCCCTGACATACACATCCGGGTAGTGGGTTTTCTGAAAGACCTTCTCCAGCTCTTCCAGCTGCAGGCTGGTGAAGGTTGTTCGGTGTCTTCTCTTCTTACTGCTGGATACATTGCTGTCACATTTATCCCCAAGTTCATCCAGTTCTCCTTTCTCTGGCATCCCTTTCACGGGAGACATCCGGAGACTGTTGCAGTTGTCCATGGCTCTATTCAGTTCGGTGTGAAGAGGCTGTCCCTCTACTTTGGTTATCCCATAGTTCACTGCATCCAGAGGGGAAAACAATGGTGCTCAGAAATGTGAAAGACATTTCCACGAATCCAGTAGAGGCAATTTAGGGCATAAAGAAAAAAATGTGCTAAGGATAACTGTGCCAGTGTGAAAGCGGTCATCACACCACACAGAATGTACAATTATTAATTTACTGTGGAACAATCTTAAAATAAGTTTTAAATGTGTACACGCAACTCATAAGTTGCCACCATCCACAGTGCTCTTGCAATATATAATCACCTACTCTTAAAAAAGAAACTCAGTGATTATGACATTTGAAAATGAATGAAACATAACTTGTCATGTAAGACAAAATTAATCGACTCCTGTGGCTCAAAAAATATTTCAATTGTAAATAGTACCTATACAATAGTATCTAACAGTTAACTCTTCTTCCACTTAAAAGCTCTTAAGTGAACCTATGTGGGACATTATTTCCATTCCACTTTTAATATTTTAAGTGAAAACTCACATTCGAATTTAAATTTCTTTCAAAAAGCCATATACTAAATTCAAAATGAGCCTTGTCAATCTCTGGAAGTGGTTTCTCTATAGAAAAGAGTAAGCTTTTCAGCAAACTACTTTTAACTCATCTCACAGCTCTTTAATTATTTCATTTTTGTGTAACTCGGGAAATATATTTTAAAACAGAAAGTTTCATTGTTTTCTCTCTGAACGCAGAGAAATTAAAACATCTATTAAAACGTTACAAAGGTTGACATCTGGTGTTGTGTTAAGGGGTGTTTTAATTTCGGTAATTTCCTTCAGATTTGATTGCATGCTTGCAACATGATATAAAACAAAAATGAATCCTATAATGCCACACACGCAAATACCATGGATACACATAATGAACTGAAAGTCATTTTTCCTTTGTAAAAAGTAAAGTCAATCCTGTCAGACCAATACTTTTCGGCAGACATCGTACTTGTATCGTTGTTTTTATTTGTCTCTGTTTTGTAAACTAGTCCCGGGAACATATTTTAAGAGCCAGTTCATTTTGATGGACAAACATGCCTTGAAGCTTTCGTGTAAAGGAAGGTGCTATGTAAAATATATATGTATATAAATATAAAGAAGGAGCAGTATTTATTAACAATACGGGTTTGTTTCTGAGGACCGAGCCAACCCGGGAACTGCGGCAATTAGGAGTGGGGGAGGGGCGCAGTGGAGACGCTGGGGGCATCTCAGGAGACAGACTAGATCTTTCTACAGGAAATCTGACATTTGTCCTTGGGCATTCTATTCAATCCCTTTCTGTAAAAAAAAAAAAAAAAATCCTAAGCGCGTGGTATTTGTTCAGAAGTTGATAGAAGTTAATAACAACCAAAATTACTCATTTCTCTTCTCACTTCGGGTTTCCGACAATTTAAAATATGACTAATGTAGCCGGCACAACAGGTCATCAAAAAAAAAAAAAAAAGAAAGGAAGGAAGGAAGAAAGAAAGAAAGAAAGAAAATTCTCTCCGTTCTAATAACTTTCTGCATACACTTGAAAAATCCCAAGGACACAGACACTGTGGTCTCCAAGACTGCCAGAAAGTCCGAAATTACGAGCAGTAAAGAATTAGCGGATCATTTTTTTTTTCTAAATAAAGGTTGGTAAAATCACAGTTTGTCGCTGGTCGTTATGCTACTAATGTTTCAAAGGTAACGATGCGACTCGGAATGAAGTAAAATATGAGTTGCATAAGAATCTTCTGTACGAATTATTTTAGAAAACAAATTCCTTCCCACAAAGCTGGTGTCTGGCGAGATTTTGTGAACTTCCATTAAAATAGGGCGCGGGGGGGGGCTTGTTGTAAATATTTCACACTTAATTCGTTTGTTATTTTAAAGCAGCCCGCTCCTTACAGCTTAACTGTAGAATATATACAATGATAAGGAAAAGGGACTCTTGATATTGTAAACGTGCTTTAGCTGTCGAGATCTGAAATAATAGGTTTGTATTGAATTACAAGATAGAAAAGATAGATGGTTTGTTTTGATGACATTTTGACTCTGAGATACTTGGGCATTCAAAGTTGAAGATTTCGCCCAGAAGCCTTCTGAAAGGCTTACGAGGTGACTTTTCATGGGAAGTAAGGAATCCGCAAGTGACTGATGATCTCGGGGATTCTTTGCCCCCACACAACTCAAAATAATTGGGTGAGTTTTAAATGAAAAAAAAAAACAATCAGGTGTTTTGTTGGAGACGCAAAACAATTTTTTTTAAAGCGCAGAAATCACAAATTCACACAAGCTCTGTTTCTAGCAACGCCTCCAACTTCAAACTTTAAAACAGCGTCACTCTTCAGACGATTTTTTTTTCACCTAAAAAACAACGATTTCTTTCTCTTCCTTCCCTCCAGAGGATCGGGAAGTGCTCCCCCGGGCTGTGAAGGACCTCAGCCCCGGCGTCCGGCTCGCGGCCAGCGGGCGCGCTCCACGGCCGTCCTCAGCCTCCTTAGCGCTTATCAGTTTGCCCTGGAGGCTTAATTACAGCCTTTCGAACCCTCAGAGGCACCAGCCGACCTCGAAAAGAGACTCGCGCGAAGCCACCGCGTTCAGGATCTTTCCTTGGCACCCGATCCCCAGACACATCGCCCCAGAAGTCCACTCCAGGACACCGCGCGCTCTAAGGGGCGCACCGCGCCTCGGCCTTTCTCGGCCCAGCTCCAGCCCCTCTGGTGCCCGCTTTTCTCTCCCCCACCCCCGACACCCCCGAACCGCCTAAACGTGCTGACCCAGTGGGAGGTTTTCCCGAGCCGGGGATGGTGGGGGGGAAGGGGGCTGCGTGGCGGGGCCGCGCCTCTGGGGACTCACCACTGTTGTCCTGACAGGGCGAGGTCCTCTCCAGCCGCACGTGATGCTCCGCTCGCGGCAGGGGCCCGAAGGCCTGCACGCATTTGCCGGCCGACGCTTTGCCGTAAAAGGACTCATTGTCCAGCGTCTCCATAACGTGCTCCAACGCGCCTCCTGCGCCCATGTAAAAGTCACTGGTTTTACTTGGCGGACTCTTAAGAGCAAACTTCTCGCTCAGAAACTCCATAATCCTGGATGGCTGTCTGGGAGTTGTCCGGGCGAGGAGTGGAGGGTAGCGCTGGAGAAGAGGGGAGGGTGGCGGGGGGGGGGGGGGGGGAGGGGGGAGGAAGGCGCGAGTGGGCGGGAGGAGGGAGGGCCACGGAGGATAGAAAGGTGAAGGGGAGCTTGAGGCTGGGCGACGCCGGGAACTGCCCGGCTCTGAGCCCTTTAATACGTCCCGGCTGGAAAAAAGGGGGCACCCGAAGTTGCCTTTATA